CAGAAAGTGAGCTATCTTTATTTCTCCACACAAATTACTGGGAACTACTTTACAAGGTTCAGAATGTAGAGTTGTTCTGGTTAGAAACACAATCAAGCCCTCTCAAGGAACTGAACCTTTTCACACAAATTACTGGGAACTACGTTACAAGGCTCAGAATGCAGAGTTGTTCTGGTTAGAAACACAATCAAGCCTTCTCAAGGGACTGAACCTGACTGCTTTGATAGATCAGTGCACTAGTTGTAATCATCATCAGTTCTCTTTATGCCTAGTGGCACATGAGGCTTCAGAGAGGACTTTTCACGCCTTCCTGTCCTGTGCAATCTTCAGTGCAGTTTTCCATGTCTGTGATGCAGCACTTAGTTCACTTTCCATCGTTCGTCTCCATGTTGTTTTTGGGCGCCACTTCTGTCTCTTTCCTCTGGTGTCCAAAACTAACTGTGATGGACCTCCCATAAAAAGAATAATCTTTGGCATCATTTTCTAGAGAACAGACACAAGACAAGAAAGGTGATGCAATGAATATCTGTTAACTACTGCTGGATGATGACTAATACCATAATCTGCACAATGAACAAAGGCAAAAGGGTGTTCACCTGGGATCTTTACTTACTAACTTAGTTAATCCTCTTCTGCCCTGGGATGTAGAGGTTTGCCAAAGAGATCGCCAGACTTCTCTATCAGCAGTTTTTAACCTACATACAACTCTATGCATCTGGCCTGCAGTTAAACTTAGAACAAGGAAACGCTTTTGAGCACCCTATCTGGTGGGGTCTGTCGGAAGTATTCTAGCAAGTCAAATTATAAAAATTCTCAGATCTAATAGAAACACCATAAAGATGAATAAAACTAGTAGACACATGAAGCATACTAGTCAGAATACTAGTAAATACAACAAAAATGTGACTAGAAAGCTCAATGGAGGGAATGGAAAAGACACGCACAAATACAACAAAACATTTCAACAAATGTCTTTATGAATGCAGTAATAAATACAACATATTTAGTGCTCTGTTGCTGAAGACCGGTCAAAGTCTCTTTTCCGTTCCCTCCATTAAGCTTTCTAGTCACTGCAGTAATCCCCTATTAATGTCATTACTTTAGTCAAAAAACTAGTGCACATGATTGTCAAGCATTCTTCTTCTAGTAACAAGTAGCTAGACTGAAGCAAACACAACATTAGAAAACCATTCCAATACAAAACACAGCATCTACAAAACTAAAATAAAATAAAATGCAAAAATATGAAGGTGTTTAAACAAAAACAAAACAAAAAACTGATGAATGCTCCAGTAACCATGGGATGTAATAATTATCTTAGCTGGGAAAAAAAAATCTGGTACCCTTCCAGTTACTGAACCCGTGTTTTTTTTGTTTTTCTTGGGAGGGGGGGGGGGGGGGGGGGTGGGATATTTAATTGAGAACATAATCATCAGCGTGCAGGTAGGCTCTAGTATTATTATTTCAGCAAGCGTGTGTGGCTGTAGTCAGCTTGCATGCAGCTGCCACGACTGGCATATTCTAACTCAAGCCCGAATCTGAATAATCTCAGCGCAGTACATGAACTCTGTTGCATCCGCGGAGGATCCTGAAATACTTAGGGTAGATTTTTAACTCTAAGTTGTGCCCAGGCAGCACTGTTAGGCTACTCTTTTTTGATTTCCAACAGCCAATGGATTTTTTACGTGCACAACAATACACACGGGCGTCCTGTCTTCCTACCCAGAGACCAGGGAAAATTACCAAAAGTCTACATGAAACAATCCCGTCCTTCATCAGGGCTTAAAATGGGGACCTCTGTCACTCTAGGCGGATGCCATATCTCGAGACCACTCAGCGCCGCGCCCCCCCCCCCCCCACTGTGCAACTACAACAGTTTTAAGTGACTGAATTCCAAGTTGGGAGTGTCAAAGCTTACCACATCTTGCTTGGGCACACTGCCTGGACTGGCAATAACAACAGAGATTGCTGAGAAAAGGTGCTGCAATGTACTATCTTCACATGAAGTCCATATTAGTACAACTATATTGAAATGTTTCTTCGAGAACCTGATCCATATGATTTTGTGAGAATGACAAGTGTACTGCTCATCTTCGTCATATTTTACCATGTGTGGTTTTTGCCGTAAGCCTTTGTGTGACAATATCTGAAGTTTCCCAGAGTATGTTATTGCGACTGTCATCATCAGTCTTGATTTTGTAGATACCTGTGTTGTTTGCAGCCTTGAGCAGAGAAGAGGGCGAACTATAGCAGGGCTATTCGACTAACTTTATTCAGCGGCCAAAATGTTGAAAATGGGGATCGTCCCAAGCTAAAGCCCTGAACCCCAGCGTAGAAAGATCATTAATACTTATTTAATTAGCAGTGATTCAGCAGGCCAGATCTGACCCATGGGCTGCCATTTGAATAGCCAAGAACTAGACATTCAGACTGATGTGGTATGCAGGTTGTGCAGTTGTTCTGATGACAGTTCCTCGTAGGAACCTGCATACAGCACTCATCAAGTCACTGATTACATACAGACACTGACCATCAAACTGCTTGTATAAACTGATATAGTCGGTCTTCGCTTTTTCCAGTTACCTCAGAAGAATGTTTGGAAAAATTATAACACAGCCAAACATACTGTGTTAGTAATAATTTTTACAACCCAGCCAAACTATGTTACCAGTAACAATTATACAGCCCAGCCAAACATACTATGTTAACAGTAACAATTATACAACCCAGCCAAACATACTATGTTAACAGTAACAATTATACAACCCAGCCAAACATTCTGTGTTAACTGTAACAATTCTAAAAAACCATCAAATACATCATGTTAACAATAAGAATGTTACATCTCCCCCCCCCTCCCCCGACACTTCGATGAGGTACAAGGTGGAAGAGAAGAAGAGAAGAAGAAGAAAACAATAAGAATTATACAACCCAACCATACATACTATGTTAACAGTAACAATTAAAAAACCCAGCCATTTACAATATGTTGCCATTAACAATGTTACAACCCAGCCAAAAATATGTTAACAGTAACAATTATACAACCCAGCCAAACATTCTGTGTTAACCATAAAAATTTTTCAACACAGCCAAACATACTTTGTTAACAAGACCAATTTTACAACCCAGCCAAGCATAACATGTCACATTAACAATTTTATAACACAGCCAAATACACAATGTTAACAATAAGAATTATGCAACATAGCCAATCATACAATGCTAACAGTAACAATTTTGCAATCCAGCCATACACACTATGTCAACAGTAATAACTTTAAAACACAGCCAAGCATATGTTAAGAGTAACAATTTTACAAAACCACCAAATACACAATGTTATACACAATGTTAACATAACAATTTAACAACCCAGTCAAACACACCATGTTAACAATTTCACAATGCAGCCAAACATACTAAGTAAACATGTAACAATTTACAATGCAGCCAAACATACTAAGTTAACAGGTAACAATTATACAACCTAGCCAAACATTCCATGTTAACTAACAATTTTACAAAACAGCCATACACATTATGTTAACAGTAACAATTAAACAACCCTGCCAGACATAGGGGTAACAATTATACAACACATCCAAACACATTATGTTAACAGTAACAATTAAACAACCCTGCCAGACATAGGGGTAACAATTATACAACACATCCATACACATTATGTTAACAGTAACAATTAAACAACCCTGCCAGACATAGGGGTAACAATTATACAATACATCCAAACACATTATGTTAACAGTAACAATTAAACAACCCTGCCAGACATAGGGGTAACAATTATACAACACATCCAAACACATTATGTTAACAGTAACAATTAAACAACCCTGCCAGACATAGGGGTAACAATTATACAACACATCCATACACATTATGTTAACAGTAACAATTAAACAACCCTGCCAGACATAGGGGTAACAATTATACAACACATCCAAACATCGACAGGTTTGATTCTCAGCGTGGTAATTTTAGCTTTAAATTTTTATGTTCTCTTGTGTGTTCTGTTATCTTTTTGCTTCTTTCTATGAGTGCCGATCCATACACTGTCTGTTTGTTTTTTATGTGTATTATGTGCAACACCATGGAACCTTTCAATCAGATCTCTTTCTTGAATGTTCGTGTATTCTAGACAAAGCATTACGGTCTACTGTGCTTGTAAATTGTTGCTGTTTGTTTGTTATTCGACCTATGCTTGGTTAATATAAATTTATATAACCTATGGTGCCATTTCCATCCCCCACCAAGTACTCTTTGGTCTATAAAATATAAATCTAGCCCTATATACCCAATACACCTGAAAGGGGTAGAAAAGGGTCCTTTACTTTTGGTGCCATTTCAATGCTTTAAGGTGAATTCTGTACGTATTCCATAGCTGTGGATTTCCAGCTGTACGATAGACATGGCCAATAAAGACACCTTCTTTGGGGATGCCTAGATGGTCATGTATCTTAATACTTGTCTCCACAGCGAGGTACACACACACCATTTTGAGGTGACAGGTTCAATTTCTAGCAGGGTAATTATAGCTTTCAATTGTTATGCTGTCTAGCATGACCTTCTATCCTTCTGCTTCTTTCTATGAGTACCGATCAATACAGCCAAACATTCTGTGTTAACGGTAAGGATTTTACAACCCAGCCAAACATAATTTGTCAACAGTAACAATTTTATGACAGCCAAAAACACGACATTAACAATAAGAATCATACAACATAGCCAAACACACAGACAACCATAATAATTTTACAAAACAGCCAAACATATTTTAACAATAATACTTTTACCAAACAACCAAACACACCATGTTAATCGTAACAATTATACAACCGAGTCACATACACACTATATTGACACTAACAATTACACTCTAAGGGTCCACCACATACTGTAAACAGAATGAATCATAAAACCATGTACACATCTGTAAACAGAATCAATCATAAAACCATTACACATCTGTAAAAACGTCACACAATATGAATGCCTAATAAGTGAACATCATCCTCGCTGTATGCAGGCTCCAGGTGCAAGAACTGCATTAGGTTCTTCTTGAGGCCCTTATTAAAAGGATTGTAGAATGCCCCTTTGCCATCCTTTAAATAGTCGTAGCGCTTCCGGTTAATCCTCTCGTTGGTGGTAAGATTGTTTGCTGCATGGTAAATCTATAATAGATTGGGAGAAAGGGAGAACAATTGTATCAATTATGTTCAAGTGGGCTGAACACCATGTCAGAAAAAAAAAAGAGTTCCATGCAATAGAACAGCATGGAGGAATTAAATGAGAGCCTTTTTTTTTACAAATAATGGCACCAGAAGGATGATGATGATGATGATGTACGTGTGGAGAAAAAAGGAGAAACATGGAGAAAGAGAATGTGAGTGAAATATCCTGGATGAGTTGGCAAATTAAACAGAAAGTTGTTGACAGAAAAGAGTGATAGAGAAGAGTATTCAAGAAAAACCCCAGACAGAAGCTGAAACAAAGGAGTTTGATAGAAATGGTGGATGGGACAAAGAAAACTCAGATGGCTACATAAACTGGGAGGGAGGAGGAGGAGAAAGACAGAAACAAACATTTATTTACATTTGGAGACAGAAAATGTTTAAAGAAAGTTGTGGGGGAGCTAGGGTTTAAATATGTTTTAGATGCAGACAGATGAATGTAAATATGCATAAAGAGAGAGAGACAGAGACAGACAGACAGAGACGGACATAGAGAGAGACAGACAGATAGACAGACACAGACAGACAAGAGGCAGACAGACAGACAGAGAGGGCTGGAAAGAGAATAAATGTAGTTACAGAGATTACATAAAACAGAGAACGTGATACAGTCAGTTTAATAATAATTGTCATCATCATGTGCCCTGCCAATTAGCGTAAGCACTCATGCATCTCCACAGATTACAATCCCTGGTGGCCTGGAACATTTCTCTTGATGATAACCCTCCATGAAATAGTTTCAGTTCATCCGGCATCATCTCTCTTGGTTTGCCTCTACACCTCTTTCCTCCTGTCACAATGTTTTCCAACACCTCTCTTCTCATTAGGAGGCCAAGATGTCTGTCTCCTTCTTATTGTTGTGTATACAGAGATCTACTTTCATTAACTTCTTTCAAGCAATCGTTGTTAGTTACTCTGGCCGTCCAAGGTATTCACAACATTCGTCTCAGAAACCACATCTCTGTTTCCTCAAAATTCTTCCTTATCTATTTGATCACTGACATTCCAAGATTTGCTGCCATACAGCAGAACATGTTATATAAAACAATTTAGCACTCACCTTCTGACATTAAATGAGAGAGACTTATTGCATAAAATATTTTTCATCTTCTGAAATGATGCCTTCGCTAAACCTATTCTGCTTTTAGTCTCTGTCACACATTTTCCATCTGATAAAGCAAGCATTATTTACGTTACTTACCCTATGACAGTAAATGGATCATATCAGACTTAATAAAACTTACCCTATGACAGTAAATTGATAATTTCAGACTTAATAACCCCCGTGTGGGTTCTGGGCTCCCATTGTGGGGAAAACAAGAATAGACTCACTGCCTCCCAAAAAGCATGTCGTAAGAGTCGACTAATTGGGGAGCATCCTTTGAAGTCGGAGTGCATCTGCCGGAGAGGCAAGGAACCAACAGTCTGTATTCAAGAGAATGAGATCTGTAAAACTGATGCACATGCAACACTCAGGTTCTGGAGCAGGACTGCAGTTCAGTAGTGGACGAGCAACCAGAACCTTCCGTTTACAGCTGGTGAACGCGAAGAAGAAAAAGAAGACTTAAAAAAACTTACCCTATGACAGTAAATGGATGTCACCAGACTTATCAAACTTACCATATTTCAATAAATGGATCATTTAAGACTTAACCAAACTTACCCTATGACAGTCAATGGATCATATCAGACTCAGCTTATCTTATGACAGTAAACGGATCATATCAGACTTAACTAAATTTAACCTTGTGACGAGCGAAAGCTTGGCGTACAGTGTGACGTGCTGTAAAGGCTATGTGGTGATGTGCGGCGTACCAAAAGTGAATAAGGGCGTCGCAATGTAACAAATGGCATCAACAACTTAATATGCCACTGGCCAAGAGTAACACAACATGATGAATGTTGAAGCTTCCAAACGTAGCTGAATGAGAACTCTCTTTAAAGGTTCCATTTGTGTATTGACAATAGCAATGATCAACACAAGGAGAAAATATGCAATTAATAATCCAGACTCATCCAAACACATCAATACAAGCCCGCTCGTACATCCACGGACTGATAAATTCTCACGACAGGTCGCAGTCCGACCTTGAGATCCAGACAGTCATCTTTGTCTTCTGTTCCGCAGTCTGAATAAGTTAATGTAAGTATACCGGCTTACTGCCGAACTGTGACAAATATACCAGCTTTCTGCTGAGGTCTATATTGGAGTCCCGGGGTAAAACGTCCTCAAGGATCCAACTTTATACAACGTCTGCTTCCGTGGAATCCCGGGGTAAAGCGTCCTCAAGGATCCACACGTCCGTCTCCTTCGGACTGTAAACATCAACTGCCTTCCGTGGCATCCCGGGGTAAAGCATCCTCAAGGATCCACACCAAGGCCAGACCACCGTCCGCCTTGGTCAAACTTCGACTTTCATCTCCTAGAATACAATCCTTTCACAACCTGACGTATTGTTTTGACGTCTTATTTGCTCACTCAGTACCGGTGCGTTCTAGTGCACATCCGCGCGCGACAAACCTCCCTATGACAGTAAATGGACTGTATCAGACTTAACTAATCCTACCCTATGACAGTAAATGGATCACATCAGACTTAATCAAATGTACCTTACGACAGAATATTGAGCATATTGGACTTTCATCAACATATTAGTATGAAAACTTGACTGAAGTACTTATTTAAAAAAAAAAGGAAATAAAACAGTGTGGACATTTTTTTTAACCCTGGGTCCCAAAAAAAAGAAAAACCCACAAAAACAGAGGTCTACGAAAAAACATACACAGTGGGTTAAAAAAAAAAAGTAAAACTCACAGTGGGTTTAAAGAAAACAACAACAAAACAATGACAGTGGTTTAAAAAAAAAAAATCACATTGGGTCAAAAAACTTACGTGGGTCAAAACAAATCCAGTGAGTCAAAAAAAAAAAGTCACAGTGGGTCACCCAAAAAAAAACCAAGTCTTACGATTGCAATAATCACACACAGCATCACCATCATGTGCAGATGGTCATTTCTGTTTATGGCAACCTCACATGATCATCAGAATCATCTTTTTCTTCTTGTTTGCTCTTTTTTTCTTCTTCTCCACTCTATTTATATCAAACTTGCCAGTTATCATTAAGTTTTCCATGTATATTTCTCCTAAAAACATGCCTAACAGTAGTCAATGCATATATTTACAGCCAGTGATTCGTGCCTTTTAAAACACATCTCTGAGTGCTAGTCAATATCTGCCAATGTATTCTGTACATTATAGTGCTAAAGTGGGCACAAAGAAACCAGACCCACAAACAAATGACAGATGAAATGGTTTGAACATCTGCTGAGAATGCCCTGGCAGGACTTAAAAGATTGTTACAGACAGAAGTGACTAAATTTAGTCTACCCAGGACGTCAGGGTTAAAGAGTGTTTTGCTCATTTCAGTTTCAGAAGATGTCAAAGTAGAGATCTAAATAGATCAGAAACAACTAATTTTTAAAAAAAAAATTTAAAAACAAGAAGATTATTTTACTTCCGTGTGTGGGTTCCAGGACCCCATTCTGGGGAAAGAAGAGACCAAATGCCCCTAATAAACATTTGATAAAAGGTAACTATTTAGACGAATCATAGCAATGCAAAGATTGAACAGCCTTAAAAGTCTACGGTTAAGCACCAGCAAGGAGATAAAAATTAGAATTTTGAGAGCATGCATCTTCCCTGTGGCTACATACGGATGTGAGTCACGGACTATCTCTCAGTCCTTAAGAAAGAGAATAGGGGCTTTTGAGCTGAAATACTATAGAAAGATTCTCAGAATATCTTGGACAAAGAAGAGGAGAAATAGTGACATCTTAAAAGATCTAAACATCAAGGAAGATTGGCTAATAAAACAGCATCCTTTCTCTGAAGCTGAAATATTTTGGTCATATCAAGCGTCACAACTGATTGGAAAAAAACTATAGCAGAAGGCATGGTACCAGGAAGGAGGGGCAGGGGCCAATTGACACGAAGATTGGCACAGGATATAAGTGACTCCTTGAGTATGAAAGAACATGAGGCAGGAGAACTGGCGAGAGACCGAGTTTCTTTCAGGCAGACTGTGATGAGAGCGACGTTCTGCAAAGAACCTGCTACATGAGGATGATGATGATTTAGACGAATAATGAGGAAACCCTGGACAGATAAAAAGAGTAATGAAAACGTCTTGAAAGAAACTGACTCACGAAGAGAACAGATTGCACACATCAGAAAGAGACAGTCTACATTCTTTGGTCATGTGATGAGAAGGAGAAAACTGGAGTACATTGTAACGATAGGAAAGCTGGAGGGGAGGAGAGGGAGGGAGAGAGAACAGATGCTGGATGGTTTTACATCATGGCATGAAAGATCATCTGTGTCAGAGTTTATGGAAATTACACGAAACAGAAGGTTGTGGATAGACATTACCAATGCCACACGGCACGGACTTAAAGAAGAAGTTTGTGGATAGACATGACTACCAATGCCACAGAATATGGACTTTAAGAAGAAGAAGAAGAAAAAGACTATTTAGGAGATTGCTGAGATTAGATGAGTTGGACCAAAAGACACAGATATCGCAGCCTAATTTTAAACCACAACACAATTAGCCAACCGCCCTTGTAAGGGCAAATGCATAAAAAGAAGCATTTTGTCTTCAAAGAGGAAACATTTGCTCCAGGTGTTTAAATATTTGACCAGACTTCTGCTGCAAACTAATACTAATAATAAAATACATAGCACGCTATACAATTCACATGGACAGTAGCTGATCATACATCACAAGTCGCTTTGGACGGAAACAGTTTAAGAAACGAGGATCAATTTAATTCAATCTGGTTGTATCTGATATTGGCCTAGGCTCTCCTCAAGAGTGGCTACTCATCGGCCTAGAGCATTTACTCCGCTGGCAATCCCCCAGGATGTGTAAAATACCTGC